AGCCTGACATGGGGGCTCAATCCCACAACCTGAGGTCATGACCTGAGCTGAAATCAAGAGTTGGACGATCAGCCAACAGAGCCACGCAGGTGCCCCAAGTTTTAGGAGGTTATGAACAAGCACATTTGGCCAGAGAGCGAAAACTACACTCTTCAATCATCTTTGTCAGAAATATTGGTAAAAAAACAGTTTTCACGTCTGTCTGTCTCTTATGTCTTATTTCTCAATTCATTTTGAACTTGGGAGGGGATATTATCTAATGATCTCTTAAGGCCCCATTACTGGTCCAGCTTCCTCACCCTCCCCATCCTATCCCAACCTCTCTTCTCCTCTCCCTCTGTCCATCCAGTTCATCCAACATGTATTTAATGCCTCCTTTAGGCCAGCACCATGGTCCCAAAGATGAGTAAGGCTTGGTCTCTGCCCTGGAGGAACTCACAGTTTAGTGGGGAAGGCAGACTCATAAATAATTATAAGCCACAGGTTAAGCCAAGTGTTTTGAGGTTTAGCACTCATGACCCATTCTAGAACTTTAGAGGAACCATGTCTCCACCTCCCCATCCCCAACTAGGGTACAGCCCTGCGGCAGGCTTTTTCTCAGATGGTGACTGGGAGGTGAAGGAGCCATTTCTGGCCACAGGGAGAGATAAAATTAGGGAAGAAACGGGCCAGCACAGGCCTATGGCTCTGGTTCACACCTGTGAAACCTTGAGTGAGCCTCTCAGGACCATAGCCTCCCATGTGTAACGTAAAGCCTGGGCTGGAGGTCTCCGAGTCTCTTCTAGCACTCATATATTCCATCACCTTTTTTTTCCCCCATCACTTTTTGACATTACAGGTCAGTACTTGAAGACTCCCTTCCTGAGAATCCTCCAGGCAGGATCTCTAGGACCTTTTCTCCTCTCAGTAAGGCGTCTTCAAGTACTGACCTGTAATGTCAGGTCCTGGGCTCACCAGCATGGCTCAAGGGAAGTCTCCTGGAAGCCACAGATGATTTGTGAGGAGTGTTAACACTGGGGCAGGGGTGAGTGGGCAGAGGATCATGGCCAGGGGCCTGGGGTCTGGCTTAGCCCTCCCTAAGGCCAAACCCAGTGGTGGGGGTGGGCAAGGCATAGTGGGGATGCTGTGGGAAGGCTAGAAGTGAGCAGAACCAGGGCAACAGGTACAGGAGGACTGCTCCCAAGGGAAAAGTTCAAACACTTTGGGACTGTCTCATTCTCTGCCCACAGACCTGCAGGATCCCCCTTCCTTTCCCCTTCACCCCAACGGCCGATAATTCTAGGTTCCCTGGGCATCGAGACCAGCATGGGTTGGCCTCTCCCCTCTCAGCCCTCACCTCAGAAATCCCGTGTCCCCATCTGGCTCTAATCTCTGGTCTCAGCTCCCACTTCAAGAGGGATCTAATAATTCCTAACATTGACGGGAAGTCTCCTAGTCCACTGAGTGCTTTACATTGAATCCAGCTCCTCCTCACCCCCATGCACCTCTTCAGCTTTCTTCTGTGCTGCAAACACCTTGGTTCTTACCCTATTCTCCTAACTCCTGCCCAATTTTTCTCCATTTCTTTTCAGCTAGGCACCTACCAAGATACCACAGCTGCTGCCATACCCTGCCTTCTTAACCCTTTGCAATTTTTGTATTCGCTCAAAAATCTTGTCCCTGGAATAGTCTGAAGCCCTTAAGCCGTGTTCACTTCCTCCCTGGCTCCGACTCTGCAGCATGCAGCATTAAGAACCTCCTCCTTCTGGAAGCTTCCTCTCCCCTGACTTCTACTCCAGCCTCTACTTCCTATGCTGGTTCCTGCTCTTCCTACTCCTCCCCACCCGTCCCACCCTGCCGCCCCGCTCCACCCCAACCCGGAATGTCTTCTCCCACACCCACCCCAGTCCCTGGTCAGCCCTCTACATTTCACCTCTGGGAACTCACCCATTTTCATGGTTTCAAGTGCCCCCTTCTACATGCAAGACAAGGCCAAAGTCCTTAGCCCCTCCATCCTCATCATCACCTGAAGTCCAGCCCCTCTCTTGCCCTCCCTGGGGCACCTTCCACTGACTGGCTCCCATACAGATACAAACAACATAAACCAAAAGCAATGGAGTAGGTCTCAAAAGACAGGAGACTGTTCAGCTTTTCTACAGGGTTACCTTGCACCAGTTCGTGGCTTCTCCCTAGTGGACCTGTTCCCCTATTGCATGGTGGGGGCAATAATCCCTGCCCTGCCTATCCTGTAGGAAAATGTAATTGGCACTTGGAGAAACACAGTACAGGGGATTCTTCTTTTCGAGCTTCCCTCTTCTGCCTGACATCGCCCTCTCCTGGTTCCCAGGAGAGCTCTAGACGGCTTTCTTCAGGCTCCATGTGCAGGGAGTTATCAAGGCCCCATGATTTCTCTGAAATGTCTCTTCGGTTTGAGCTTCCCTCTGAATTCCTACAATCACCCCCCAGGCTCCCAAGCCTAGATGGCTGGTTCCTGACTAAGCCGATCTACCTTGCACACCGATGTACATCTTCACTCCCAGCAGGTCACAGTCCTTACCCAGAATGCCTGCCAGGTGCAGCGTTACCCAGGCTGCCCCCACTCGTGGCCCCACCCGGCTCTCTGCAACCTTTTCTGCCCTTAGCCAACCACTGAGCTGGTCCACTTGAGCCTGAAGAAGCTTCCTATTCCGTGCCTTCCCCTAGGCAGCTCCCCACTTCCTGTTTTTCTTGCCACCTACCTAAAACCTTGCCCATCCTTTATGTCTCGACTCCCTTCAGGGCTTTTCTGAGGTCTAACCCCCTTGTTCTGATTTTTCCCTGTTAGTATGAGAATGTGTCCACACAAGCCCACGTGGCTGGAATATCACTGAAGGCTTCCTTTTACTTTTTAACTGTAGCACATCAGTCCCTTTCCCCATCCAGTTCTCCTTCTCTGAAACTAAACGCATTGGACTTGGGTCTCAGAACCACCTGAGTTCTGCACCCAGAGTCAATTTGGGCCCCGCTGAACTTCATGTAGTTTCCCTCAATGGTAACAGGAGCTTAATAAAACTTACGGCACAGATTTATCACTGAAGGTTAAAATAGAAAACAAGTGAAAATACCAAGCAGTGTCTGACACAGAACAGAAATGCAAAAAATAGTGGCTGAACTGGGGCCTTGGCTTTAATCTCAACTTGATGTAAGAAACAGCAATTATTTATGGTTCTCAAACTTACAGGCAAAACCGAAATCTTAGAGGTACTATTCACTGCACTGTTTGTGGTGTTTCTCATTTAAAATCCCTATAATACATTCTTCCCTGAAACATTTCTTCTGACGAATAAGTATACTTCCTTTTATGTGACAACTCTTAGAACCTTGACTCCCATTTCTGCCTTTGGCTCCCGGGAAGCTCGGAGCAAGGTTTTATACTCAGTTGCAGATTTCCTCGCTGACCTGTGGGGGGCAGTGTGGGATGGGGAGAGAGCAAGGGCCCTGGGGTTGGAAGATGAGGACTGGGGCACACTGGGCCCCTTCTTCCTGTGGCTGGATAACCTAAGCCTTAGTTCCCTCACCTGTGGAAAGGGGGGAAGAAGGATGAGGGTACCTATTTTACAGGACCACTGAGACAATGTGTTAAAACTATAAATTACCAAAAAATTCCCATGAAAATTAGTTATTAGCAGTACAGGTTTTCTGACGTGATTATTTCCCTTTCCCACCTCCCAATACTTGCATCTTATCTTTTAAACTTTGTTCTAATCATTTTGCAGTTTTACTGTAACTGTGTCTTTTAATTTGCTGTAATCCTTTCTGGAAGTATAAATAAATAACAAAAGTATTTCTAAAGAGCAATCTCCCTGAAGGCAAGAAATGTCCCTCACTTGTTTTGTGTAATAACAATTTACAGTAGAAATATGTGTAGCTACAGGGACACCTGGCTGGCCCAATCAGTGGAGCATGCGACTCTTGGTCTGGAGGTTTTGAGTTTGAGCCCCACATTGGTGTAGAGATTACTTAAAAAAAAGAGAAAGAAAAACATGTAGCTACAGAACGAACGTTTAGCTTTCCGTTCCTACGCAAAGGCCAGTACTTTGTACTGAATAGTTAAAATAAGCTGAACTGTAGGTCAGAGAATGATCCAGAAGGGGACTTTTTTGTTGGCTTGTACTGATGACTGATGATCTAATGCATTCCTTCTTTCATCTGTCCAAGCTTATACTGATGCCTACTGTGAGCCCGGCACTCCTGGGGCCCTAGAAAAACAAAGGTGATTGACCCAAACACAGTGCCCACTCTGAAGGAGCTCACAGTGCAGGACGGAGGGTGGGTGTGTCAGCCATAGTTTGCAGCTGGGGCAGACAAGGCTGGACGGGGGGTGGGTACGTGGGCACACATGGGATTTCTCTAGTCAAAAGGGGATGCAAAAATACCAGGCAGAGGAAACCTACAGGATGATCTCTTCAGGTAACACCCAAGCGGTTCAGTTTGTTCAGAGAAGAAATGAATTCGAGCACAGGTCAAATTAAGAAGGGCCTTGCAGCCTCTAGGAGCCTGGATTTTATCTTGAAGGGGAAGGAGGTGTGTAGTGGGCGAAAGATGCTGACAGTCTGGAAGTGAGGGCTTCGGGACATCCCCGACCTGACAGATCCAATTCGGCTCTTTAAAACGCAGCTCCGTGTTACAAGTTGCACTGTTTGACAATTACTCAGCTTATGGAGATAGGACTTGGCTCTGCAGGTGGAGGTATTCATAAACGGCCTGTATGGACAGAGGCCAACTGGGATGCTGAGAAGGGGAGTCAAGTTCTGGACCCAGGCTGGATTAAGTGACCTCTGAAGTTTCTTCTAAATCTGCAGTTCCATGATTCTCAAACAAGCCCAGTAGCTGGCCTGGAGCTGTGGGCTGGGGTCTGTGGCTGGGGAGCTGCCCGGGGCAGCAAATGGGTTAAGGCTCAAATAACTTTTATATATGAATTAATGTGTGGAGTTGGGAGCCAAAATCTGTTCCATTAATTTTTCCATCCATTCCAGGAGCAGTTAGGTACACACAGTAAAGTTTATTTTGGTGCATGGTATACTTCACTCCATTAAAAATAAATTAATCAGCAAATTCCTGCCTGGCTCAGCTCTGGTTTATGTAAATAGTGCCCAGCTGTAATGAGTTACAAGGTGTTACTATCTCACACACACAGAGGGGGCTTCACTCTAGAACTCCGCTTGCAACAAAAGCATCTTAAATAAACTCTGAGAAAGCGGTCTGATTTGTAATGTTTTCACAGAAGTGGGATATACCTCACCCATATAGAATTTCTTTATATGACTCATTTTATAGCAAGTTAAATGAAGGAAGTTTGATGGGGGAAGGAGGGGCACTATGGTTCCCCGCCCCCTTTCTTCCATGTAAAGAAAATCCCCCAAGAGATGGCCCACACTCAGGAAGGAGGGGACTGATCCTCAAGTGCACAGACCGAGCTGGCTCTGCAGCGCACGCTCCAGAAGTTGGGACGGGGCTAGGAAGCTGGGCACGGGGCTCGGCCCTGGGACGGTACAATGAAGCCAGAGAGAATTTTCTCTTCTCCCCAGTATCTCACATCAAGGGAGTCAACAGAGGAAAGACGGCATGTTCCTCCCCTCGTGACAATGGGACCTATGTTCTTGGGGCTTCTTTCCAAATGACTCAGGATGTGACAAGCCCCTTGGCCATCAGAGGCCTTCTGGGTCCCAGAGGATGGAGCCTGGCAGGCTAGGCCTTGGCCAGAACAGTGACATCTCCGTGAACTAGAGACAAAAGGAGCAACAGAGACCCTCCTGACCCTCTCGCCCTCCCTGCCTCGAACTGAGCTGGGTGGTGGTCCTCAGCTTATGGCAACTGCCATCTCAGGTAGGTTTCTAAAAACCCTGGAATAAAGACGAGCCATGGCAGAGATAAGTCTCTGTATCTTTTAATGGCCAACTCAACTCCATGGCTCAAAGCCGGAGGACAGAGCGTGGTTACCCGTCTTGACTCAGCAGCATTCCAAACTGCCCCTTGGCCACGGTGGGCCCTTGGTGGAAGTGTCCCCTTGCTGACCTATCCCCATCCCTCTGCGGCCTTTGGGAAAAGCTGTCAATCACAGTTCCTGGAGGGGACCAGGGGAGTGTGTGCTGGGGAGCTCTTGCTCCAGGCTTCTCCTGGGGCGGGGGGGTAGGATACCTCAGAAGAGCCAAGGGTTCTCCCAGCACAGTACCCCACCAGATCAGACTCCTGGGCATACTAAGAGGATAATCAACACAAATGGGGCCAGGTATTTGACAGATGCCGTTCAAAGGTCAGTTCAGGCCACTTTCTGCAGGGTTCCGGGCCAAACAAGCACCTCTCTCCTGGCAGTTCCTCAAAGCCAGCGGGCCAGCTGTTCAGAGACACCAGCCCCCATCAAAGACCCTCATCGTTGTAAGTTGGGGAATGGGGCTTCAGGATGCTCTGAGGATTCTTCTCCACAAGAGGGCGCCAGCTCACCTCCCCCGTCAGAAGCAGATCCTCACCATTCATGGAGTCCAAGTACTGCATCTGCAACAGGGCGAGCAGGAAACAGAGGACAAGGGCAGGAGAGACACAAGATGGCGTAAGGAACCAGCCTTCAAACGGAGAGGACAGGGAGGGGCCTCGGGGGAAGGGAGGCGGTCTGACCATCCCAGCTCCCAGGACAGCAGGTCTCTGATCTCCCAGATTATTTCATTAAAGTGGGTTGGGAGAAACGAATTCCCGGGGAAGCTCATTGGGAAGGCTTTAGGGAACTCCTCATCATACCTCTGAATAGACAAGACACACAAGCCCTGACTTTCTGGGCTGCAAGAAGTTTCTAGGGAGGATGTGCTAGGGGAGACACGTCCTTGGGATGCGTGTGTGTTTTATCTGCCTATTCGGGGTAGTGAGGTTACTAAAGGTGAGCCAGTTTCCCTCTCTGAGGTTCAAGTTCCCTTGTCTGAGAGAGGGGATGGGAATGTGTACCCCCCCAGGGCTCATGAAGAGATTAAATGATACAACACGTGTACACTGTAGTCACAGGAACTTCTTAAAATTTTAAATATGTATGCCTCTACTGTCCTCTAGTGAGCTCTGACCCCACAATTAGCAGGCCGCCGTGCTGACCAGTGGGTCTAGCTTCACCCAGGGGGACGGCTGGGGGAGCTTATCCCCCTGAACAGCAAGTGGAGAAGGGACACCCACAATACGGAGAACGGGGAGCGGCTGCAGGGGAGGCGAGGTTGGGCAGTTGTGCAAGAGGCAGGCGATCTAATGAGTGGCCAAGTCTCAGGAGATACAGGCGGTGTCTGGGAGGATCCCCAGGCTGCTGCTAGTAACAACAGCAGAATGAGAAATGCTTTCAAGTGGACAGGCACATTCAAGGGGAGAGCTGATCACAGCAGGAGAGAGCTCTGGATTCAGAGAAATAAAGCTGCACGGCGGGGTGAGAAGGCGTGTGGGAGAAGGCGGCAGGAGCCTGGAGGCCTCATCCCAGTCGTCGGACCGGCCCCCTCTCCCAAAGCCCTCACTCCTGTTGTTTCACCGCCAGGCTGCTGACCCCGGAACTCAGCCCATCTCTCCCATATACGTCAGGTCTAGGTTTCCACACGTCCTGCTGTCTTTTAGTTCAAGGAGAGTGACTGACCCATTACCGTGCCTAAAACACACTCCTCTTTCCAACAGCTCCATCTCTGTGCCTAATGCCACCTCTCTGCCCATCTTCTGCATTGAAAATCTCAACATAACCTCGGACTGGCTCTTGGGCTACCCACCAGACCAACTGGGATCATGGTGCAGGGCTAGTCTGTTGAGGGCCCGGCTTCCTGGTCTTTCCTGATCTGCTCACTCACAGTCTTCGCCTTTCTTTGGCCTTCCAAAGCACTTTGTTCCTACCTGCATCATCATAGACTGACTTATTCCAGGGTCAGCCTTGTGCCTGACTGGCTTCCTCACCAAACCATGAGCTGGCTGGAGGGCAGGTGTGGGTCCTATGAATCTCTGCTTTCTCACCAGAGTGCCTGGCACAGCAGGTATTCAGTGTTGCTGACAGGCCCGGGTCCCATCAAAGCTCCCTACTTCCCTAAGAGCCCCATCACTGTTTTCCTATTGCCTGCTTCTCATTGGACAATATGGGATTTCTTCTAGGGGCAATGGTGTGCAGTCCCTTCTTTTAGGGCCCTCGGAGAAGTCCCAGCTATGTCCTTGCTGTGGCCCCTGGCACAAGCCCACCATGGCAGATGGAAAAGTTAGGCTGGTCTCTCAAAAAACACAGCATTTGCTTTGCCAACTGCTACTTGTGTCTGACGATGAATCCAGTCAACAGTGTGAGTCTCAAGAGTTCTCTGTGGGTGGAGCCCTCTGGCCACAGTGCCTTCTCCCAGCTCTGGCAGATTTGAAGAATGGTCAAACAGAAGTCCTGGCTTCTGGGGTTCTCTACCCTCTGGGTCTGAAGAGCCCCACTGTGTGGTTTTGCCAGCAATCAGCAAGCTGTTCCTGCCAGCCCTGTCTTCTCCCCAAGAGCCAGGGCCTGGCCTTCCCCTGCCTGGCTGCTGAAGGCCTGAAGGCCGTGGACACAGGTGAATAAGAGAATAATTGTGGGGTGAGGCCCCTTCAGCTCCAGGGCCAGGCCCACAAAGCAAAGGTGTGACTCATGGGACAGCCTGAGCTGATGAGCTGTCTGGAGCAGCTAAGGCCTCTCTAGTGGCTACATGAATCACCAGCGTGGGGTTGTAGGCCAGCTGTGCGGGCTGACTCACTGGGAGACCCTGGAAAAGCCTCTATGTTCCTCTTCTCTGCCACTCAGCTCCCTCATCTATAGAATATGGGTTTCCCATCAATACAGATCAGGGGGGCAGAGAGATCAAGGAGTGAAGTTGCCATGGTTTCAAGGAAAACGATATAGTTAAGAGTCCCCACTCTGGAGTTTTCTCTTAGAAATTCTGGTGTCAGGGAGCCCTGGGGGACGAGGGGGTGGGGAATGAAGTAGGAGGACGCTACTTGATTGTGGCTAGCACTCAGTGGGGAGAGGTTTGAGAGACACCCGTGGAATGCTGCCTGGAGCCCAGTTCTGCTAGAAATCAGGAGCAGGAAACATGAATCTTGAAGCTTCAAAGTGGGATCAGAGGGGGCTAGAGTGGGCGACTACACAGCACCCCATACCCATATCCTACAGGACTGTGTGTGCCGGTGGTCTCACACAGCACTGGGCACATAACAGGTAATCAAATGTGTAGTGAATGAATGCCTAAAAATTTTTGAGAGCAGACTACTCAGTGCTTCTTCTTCCATCTCATTCCCCACTCCCAGCCTAGCTCATGGCTGGGCACACAGAAGGTGTTCATCAGCACCTGCTGCAGACAGGATGTGGTCAGAATTCCCTCAGACTGGCCTCTGGGAACTCAACCTCTCATAATCCTCTACAGTCCAGCATCTTCAGACCTCAGGAAAGACCTGCTTCCCATGAGCCTCTGGAGGGGAGAGCTGGGGTTGCTCACCTGTTTCCTCACATACTCCACCAACAATTCAAGCTGCCGAGGGTCTTCACATTTTTGGTTGAAGAAGGTTCTCCAGAGGGCAGCAGCCAGCCCATGGTCATCTGAAAGGATCCCCTGGAACAGAGAGTACAATTGGTCTTCCAGGGAGTATGGCAGAGCCATTCGTACAAAAGCTGGGGATATTGTGAACATGCTGACAACCACAGAATCGGACTGGAAAGACCTTATAGACACAAGAAAGAAACGGGGCAGCTACATGGTAGAGCCAGATGGGGTCTTCAGAGAGCATCTGGTCCAACCCTTTCATTTTATGCACAGGAAGGACATGGGAGCCAGAGGGGCCGAGTGACTGGCTAAGATTAATGCAGAGATGGGGTTCATGTCTGGCTGCCCTCCCAGGCCACACACAGCTCCTGCTACTCGCCTGCACTGTACTTGACCCACCAATACCTGTGAGGCCAGGAAAAGAAACGGTGGCCCAGTGCTCCTACCGCTGCCCGCAAGAAATGGGCACAGAGTGTTGTGGGTGGGTATTTTTTCTCAGAAACAGAGGTGGGCATAGACTGCACCTTCTCTCCTGGTCCAAGGGCACACGTCTGCAAGGCAGCTGGCTCTCTGGGAAAGGAACACCTTGGCCTCACTGTCACCCATCTCTGGGTTGGCCATGGCTAGCCCTGCCGCAAGTAGAGGAACAGGCCGTTCAGCAGGGCTGCCATGGGCCAGAGGGAACGCCCAGAGCCTGTGTGCGTGTGTCTAATATTGTCCTTTGCAGCACGGAGGAGGGTCTGTCGAGAAGCCCAAATATCATAGAGACTAATCAGCACCTGGGCCATGGACTAGGGCCATTTTCTAGCTTGGACCTCTAAGGGAAGGAGAGGGGACGGTCCTGCTTCGTGGGGGGAGGGTGACTGAAGAGAAAGGCCCCAAAAAGCTGCTCTGTCCAGGTGCCAAGCTAATATGGAACCAGACAAAGCACCAACTGGGACTTACAAGTCAGAAGGCCAGATCAAGTCCTGGCTCTGCCACTACCAAGGTTCAGAGATGGCGGACAATTCACCACTCATCTATGAGATGAAAGTGCTTGCCCTACGCACAGCTGCATTATAAAAGTGGGTCCGCATAAAGGTATTCTGTTATGTGCAGTATGTCAGGTACAAGGACCAGGAGCTTGCTGCGACAGGCAGCTGTGGCTACAGCTGAAACTACAGTGAGATCTAGGGATCAGACCACATAGGTTCAAATGGCAGCTCTGTCACTTGACAGCTGCATGGCCCTTGGAAAACCACCAGCCCTTCCCGAGCCTCAGTTTCTCATGAGCCAAACACACATAGCAAGACCCGCCCACAGCACTGTTGTGAGAATTCAGAGATCATGGCCATGACAGGCTCTGTAAGTGGCAAAGCATTACACGAAGACCCCAGATCATGTCTTCAATGTGATACTGTGTGTTGGCCTCTGGGACATGGCGGCATATGAGGTCCGACGTCAGGCCTGCTGCCACGAAGGGCCAAGTCCAGGATGGGGTGCTGACAGTTTGGTGGAAAAACAGTCAACCTGTTCCAAATGCCTCCTGTTCAACATCCCTATAATTCCCCAGCTTAAGAGACTGTGTTGGCACAATGGCTGAGTCAGGAAAACCAGCTTCTTCTGGCAGATGGGGACAGGGCCCAAGAACAAGCTCAGGCACATCACCGTTCTCCAAGCTATTTGCTAACACAACAGCCTGCTTGTGTCTAAAGTGCCCCGGGCACAAGCTGGAGAGCTGCTGGCAGAGATCCACATGTGCTACGTGGGAAAGAAGAGCCTGGGAGCGGGTGTCATGAGGACCTAGAGAATGAGCACAGAGCACAGGACAGCAAAAGCCCTGGGAGCCACGGCCTGCTACAAACAGGTACCCCTGGCAATGGGGGAGATGCCTGGGAAGGGGCAAGTCCATAATCAGTCGGAAAGAAAAGGGTGACTCAGGACTCCGATCAACAGTGATAGCACCTGACTGTTCCAGGCTGTCAGTTCCTTCACACACCTGGCTCCTAATGACTACGTATGCCAAGAACAGATATGATTATCCCCATTTGAAAGATAAGTACACAGAGGCTTAGAGGTTATCTAGCTAATTGGTGGTAGACTCAGGACCAGAATGCACTGGTGAGGTCAAGGGATGGTGCCTGACTAGCTCTAGGTAGGACGCGGTACCTGGCACAGAGTGGGGGGTGCAATAAAAATGGCTGAACAAATCAATAAGCCCAACTTCACCCTTTTTTCCACCAAACTGCTAGTAAGTCAATGAAAACATATGGGAGACTGGTCTGAGAGAGAAATCAGGAAAGGAAAAGGGGTGCTTGGTGGCCAAATATTAGTTTGCATAGCAATGTTCCCACAATCTACTAGGGGGCCTGCTTGTTTTCCCTCATGACACAAAAAAAGCATCCTTCAGGATTAAGACACCTAGGTCTAGAGTAATTGAGAGGAAGCCTGTGCCTTGAGGGTCCACGTTATAGTTAAGGGTTTGGAGTGCCAGTCTCACTCCGAAAAGACTGATTTGTGACACCACTACGTGCTTAGCATGATGCCGAGAACACAGAATCACAGCAAAATGGTCTCAGCTCACAGGCAGCTTGCAATCAGTTGAAGAGACAAGCTAGTGCCCAACAAACAGCAGCACAGGATCAAATCCTAGAGAGTGAACAACTGCCAATCCGTACAGGGAGACTCCGAGGTAGACTACGTACATGGGTGACTCCTCATTCTTCAGTCTTAGCTGCTATGACCCTCTGTTTGTAACCAGATATTTATTTGCTTGTTTACCTGTTTACTGCCTATCTCCCATTAGAAGGTAAGCTCCAATGGGAAAGAACTACACCATGTTTGTTTTATTCACCAATATATTCCCAGTGCATCCCATATGGCAGGCACTTTATACTGTTAAATGGATAAATGGATGGATGGATGGATGGATAGATGAGGTTGAAATTCAGAGTAAACAAACACAAATCTAGAGAGGTCAGGGAAAGCTCTGTGGAGAAGGGGGCCTTTAAGAGTGGAGAATATTTGGAGAGCTACATTCTAAGTAAGACAGAATACATTGGTTCACTGAACATTTACAGAGAGAGTGCCTACAAGGTACCAGGCTCAAAGCTGACAAGACTCGGCCACTGCCCTCCAAACCTAGCTGTTCAGGAGATCTTCCAGCAGGCACAGCATGTCTGTGGGGCAGTGGGGCAAATGGCCTCACTTGGAAAGAAGGTTACACACTCAAAAACAATAGGAGATAACAGTGGATAAGACATGTCAAGATGGGGACAGTTGACAGAAGACCTGGAAGTTCCATGGAGGAATTTGTGGACTCAATGTAGCAGAAAACAGGAAGGTTTCAAAAGTGGCCAGGGTAGGGGCACAACCCAAGCAACATTCTAGGAAAAGGGTGCTGCAGAACGGCACTGTCCAAATGAACTTTCTGTGATGACAGAAATGCTCTAAAGCCACACTGCCAGTCCAGCAGCCACAAGCCACATAAAGCTATTGAGCACCTGAAATGTAACCAGTGCGACTCAATTTTCAATTTTATTTAAGGAATTTAAATCAAAATAGCCACATGTGGGGGCACCTGGGTGGTTCAGTCGGTTAAGCATCCAACTCTTGATCTCAGCTCATGTCTCGATCTCAGGATCTTGAGTTCAAGCCCCGAGCTGGGTTCCATGCTGCATGTGGGGCCTACTCAAAACAACAAAAAAGAGAGCCGCACGTGGCTAGTCTTGGACAGCACAGCTCTAGAATCCGTGACTCCCAGTGTGGTCTGCAGAAGGGCTGCATCATGTCACCTGCAGCTTGTTCACCATGCAGAATCTCAGGCCTCCCCGCTGACTTGCTGAGTCAGAATCTGAATTTTACCTACGTGATCTGCATGCACATTAAAATTACCTGAGGAACTTTTACAACAGATGCCCACCTACAGCAGTTAAATTAGAACTTTTGGGAGACAGGGCCCAAACAATGGTATTTCTAAAAAAGCGTCCCAGGTAATTAGTATATTTCCCAAACTTTCCCACTCTAAAGAGTCACCTGAGGTGCTTGCTAAATACCAGGCCCCACTCCTATTGACCTGGAATCTTTAGAGAGGTGCTCAAGAATTAGATTTGAAGAGCTCTCCAGGTGACTCTTGTGATCAGGCATGTTTGTAAGACGGCTCTGCCAGGATGGACTGGGATGGGAGGGACAGAAAAGAGACAAAATTCAGAACATCTTTATTAATACTGGTGAAAGGAATCAGCTGAGCCAGCTGCAATAAAGTCCTCAAAGAAATACTAGCTAATAGAGAATGCTATTTCTTCAATTCTAAGCCTCATTTTTCTATACACTGCAAGGCTTCTGCAGTCAGAATGTATCTAATTTAACAATTAATGTGTAGATGTAAGCAGTGTTTCTCAACTCCCGTCCCACTCCCACAAAGCTCATGTTAAATCAAAGACGTGTGTGGTATGCAATCTAAATTGCTCTCTGATAAACCTTCCTGTTTTCTGCAAATATCTGGTGGACTGAGAATCAGGAACCCTCAATTTTAACTAGTCCTATTTTTGTAAGCTTATCTCCTGGCTTTAATTATTATCTTCAGACTGATAACACTTCCTCCAGTCTGAACTCCAGTTTCTTACTTTTATCCTTTATGCCTTTCCTCCCTTCCTCATTCCTCACTTACCACATGCCAGGTACCACACCAGGCAAGAGAAATGCAAACACGGTAGACACTGCCACCACCCAGAAGGAGTCCCCACCCAGCCAGGGTACACTAGTGTAGCGAGTGCTGTGGAGTCCAGGGTAGGTGGAAGGAGCTGAGCCCAGGGAATTTCCAGGCCTGTTTCCCAGAAGGGGTGGTGCTTGCATTAAATCACCACAAAATGAGCATAAATGCATGTGTTTTTTAAAAAGATGAGTTTTGAGGAACCCTGGTAGTGTGCATACAGGTGTTCATTACACCATTCTTTTACCTTTTTGATGTGTTTGAAATTTCCATGATAACAGTGGGGAGAAAAAGATGAGATGGATGCTACTACATGGGTGAACGCTGAGAACATTATGCTAAGTGAAATAAGCCAGTCACAAAGAATAAAACCCATATGATTCCACTTACACGGGGGTACTCAGAGTATTCGAATTCACAGAGACAGAAAGGAGAAGGTGGTGGTTCCCAGGGGCTGAGAGGAGGCTGAGGGAAGAGTAAGGGTTTAATGGGTACAGAGCTTCAGTTTGGGAAGATGGAAAAAATTCTGGAGGTGGATGGTGGGGACCATTGCTCAACAATGTGAATGTACTTAAGACGACTAAAATGTACACTTAAAAATGGTAAATTTGATGTTATGTATATTTTACAATGAAAAAAATGAGATCTAAATGTTCTGATGTGTAAGGAGGCCTAAGATATATTGTTCAGCAAAAAAGGCAAGGTGCAGAATAGTGTATGTAGTATAACTTCCATTGTGTAAAGAAAATACATAGGTGCCTGTGTATGCAAACATAACGTCTGGAAGGACACTCAATAAACTATTAACAAAGTTTTCCTCTGGGACAGGGAATTGGGCAGGACAGAAAGGGGCCTTCTACTTTTTACTTCAACCACTTGTGTGCAGTTTTATGAGTTTTTGAAATGAGTATGTATTGCTTTTATAATGAAAGCCACAAAAGTTTGCGATTTGTCTGGCAGCCTGTGCTGTTTATATGTGTATGTCTTCCTATCTCTGGAGGCTAAAACAGTGACTGATTTGCCTTTGTCCCTACATCCAGCACCCCATAAGGACTCAATAAACGCTACTAGTTGAATGATTTGACCATATTATATTGTGCTCTCTTTCCCAAGCACTAGGCAAACTGCTGGGCATAGTAATTTCTGTTGCCAAGTCAATGAAGATGAGGAAATTCTAAGCCATAATGGTAGGTAGTAATGATGTCCCCTGAAGGTTCCCTCAGAGTTTCTCATCAAAAGTCTTTCTATGTAAGTGATGAATCCCTGAATTCTACTCCAGAAACCAATACTGCACTGTGTGTTCACTAATTAAAATTAAAATTAAAATTAAAATTAAAATTAAAATTAAAAAAAAAAAAGTCTGTTGGGGGAAGCCAATGTTCTGCTTAAGGCTTGGCAAATGATCTTACCTCATCATATCCCAAGATTGCTGCATAGAAATTATTTGTCATAAGGATCATGTTCTTCTTCAAGATATAAGAATTAACCTACAGAAACAAAATGACAAAAACAAAAGTATGAAAAAAGGGGAAAAGAACAAAAAATATGATTTTTGCCTCTTAACTATCACAGTCTCTTAGTAAAACAAAGAGAGAAGGCCTCTAACAGGTCGAACTGCTTGTCCATCCCCATTTCCCTGATCTGCCAGGATTCTCCCCAATTTGACAGCTTCTTTCAGGTTTTGATCCCAAATTACACAAAGCAGTAACTCAGTTTAATGAGCCAAGCCCCAAGTACATGTCAGGCTTTGTGCTAGACCCTATGAACACAAAATGTAAGAAATGGTTTCTTAGCTGGAGGAGCACACAGTCTAGTATGGAAAAACAAACATGTAAAAAATAATTAAACTGCAGTATGTTGCCTCAAATTCTATCCCAAAAGTGGTGAGCAATAAATGAATTTTGGTACAAATGATCTCTGCTCTGGGAGCAGGTGAAGAGTTCTGCAGGAGGTAATACTTAGGTGGACCTTGGAGGAGAGAGGACATTCTAGACAAAGGGAACAAGGTGTGCCAAGGTGCAGAGGCAGGAAAGAAAATGTTTGGGGAGTCCCAGGGAAGGTGAATGGGCAGGAACACTGGAAAGGTATGTTGAGACCAGGTTAGGAAAAGTCTAAGGGCTACTCAAAGGAGCTTTTGGTGGTAAAAGACAGAAGGAAGTTGTCAGAGGTGCAAAGAGGAGGGAGAGAGGCAGGACCCTGAGTGAGATGCTGAGGAGAAAGGAGAGCCCCCGAAACCCCCGAGGCTGTGAAGAGGAGGCGAGAATAAGCCAGGCTGAAGTAGTAAGACTGTTAATCTTAAGAGACTGTTTTGAAATACAATTCCAGGGAGACCATGGACACCCAGGTAGAACTTCTCTCAGAGAACAGCCAGGTGGGCCTTCAGAGTCCAGACTGCAAGTTCACTGAATGTCTCCAGTAGGGTAAAACTCTGACCTCCGGACTTCTAGGAGTATGCTTGAAAGCCCGGTCCATGTTTCATTCCTGAGATCCCAGCAGAAAGCCTGGTGTAATGTGCAGTACATAAGTGAGGACTCACTGGATATTTAAACTGACAGGTTTTAGAAACAACCAAGTTATTTGGAACTTTACATGGAGAATAAGATTTGTGCTTAACAACCCTGACCATAACAATGCCCACTGTCATCTCCTCCATTTACTGAGGACCTAGAATGGGCCACATGCTTTTACGGATACCATCTCCTCTAACCGTCACTGGAACTCAAAGGGTAGGTATGCTAGAGTCACATTTTTATGGACACAGAAAACTGAGCCCCAGGCAGGTGAAGTGACTGGCCCTAGGTCCCATAGCAAATTAGTCATAAAGCTGAGACTAACATCCAGGTCAGTCTGAGTCCAAAGTCCATGTGCCTTACGTTCCATCAGGTTCCTGCCTCCAGAAGGATGATTTTACTTTGGATCATAAATCAAAGACTGAGTGATTTAATCCTGTGGCTCATAACTAGTCTCTGAAGAAGAGCAGAAAGGAGTAGTGAAAGGACCTGGGTTCAGTCAGACAACCTGGGTTCAAGTTCTAATTCTGCTATATACAGAGGATGTGGTATTGGGCAAGTCAAATAACCTATTTCCTTGCATTTCAAATGCTCTATACACAGTGCTGGTTTAAACAGCAAATGAATTAGCATGTATTCATTCATTAATTCAACAATGTATGCTGAAAGCCTCAGTAAGCTGTAAAGTGCTCTGCAAATGCAATGACTTATGGGTAATACCTTCTGGTTTGTTTAGAGAAAACTAAAACCAGCTCCAATAGTCAGGGATAATTTTCAAAAAGGAAGAGAGAATGGCCCAGCTCAAGACTGGAAAATGTGAGATTGGATGCAGGTGGTGGTACAATCCATGACCTTTCCCCCCTACCTTCAACCCACGCCCAATCAGACCTCCAGCCGCTATGTTCCTAGAGCTCCATCCATACTCCTCCTCCTGGAAGCCAACGTGGTTGAGAGCTGCATATGTACCTGTCTCTCCCACTAGTCTGTGAGCTACTCAAAGATCATAAGGAACTCTGATTAATCTTGGCACCCCCGACAGACACCTAGCCCAGGGCCTGGCCCAGAGCAGGACTTGAGACTGGCTGGCACGCTGATGACTGACTCCTTACAGGGGCCTGAGTGTCACGCATAGTGTGTTCTGTCCAATGACACCCTTTTGTTTGTTTCCCCTTTTTTGCTGCTTGAATACCTTGCATGTTTCTGAAATTTCAAAAATATGTACTGCCCAACTTCTTAATGCACCATCTTCCAGAATGGGCTGAGGTGAAAGGCAGAGTCAAGAAACAAGCCAGAGCTAGAGTTCATTCCTTCTGAAGTGAGACGATGGGACTACAGCCTAGCCCCACTGAGCGCCATTCTGGGGCTCTTCCTACTCCCGTACATTATTCTCCTCATCATGCAAGAAGAATCAGAGCCACAAACAGATGTCAGAGACGTCACACAAAGGCAAGAGCATCTTTCAGAGGCAAACATGCACTGAACCTGCTCAGCAGAGCTAGTTTATGTGTTGCATCTACCTAGTAAGCTTTAGAGCTGGAAGGGTCTTCGAAGATCACCTAGCTCAATCCCTCTGAGGAAATGGTGAACTGAGACCCAAAAAGGGGTAGGGACTTATCTGAGGTCACAAAGAAAGCAGAGCCAGGATTGGAACCTGACTATAGACAAGTGCTTTATCTGCTTCACCATCTGTAGGGCATTTCCAGAGATCAGCTACACATTAATCTGCAAACCTCAGTTTCCAGCAAGGTCCAGTTACATACAAACACACTTTCTCCTCTTGGGATGCAACTGCATTCTGGCTAGCTATGACCCAGGAAGAATGGAGAGCAGGTCTAGAAGTCCCTATGAGCAAGGCTCCACTACCTCTAGTAGCTCCTATAGTCTAACTCCAGTGACCTGTAAGCTGCCTCTCCCTCTCCCCTCTGAGAGATGGCAAGCAGCCACTGCTAGGAATGGCTTTCAGATATCATCACCCAGGCTGGATTAGATCATGAAAAAGGCCCTTCCTGGAAGAGGGTGGAAGCTTGATCAGTGCAGATACATGATCTGCAAGTAACAGGTGAGGGTGAGTGAGAACAGCTTCCTGAACTACTGGACTCACCCTACTGGGCCCTTCTAGCCAGCCCAGCAGCCAAGGGGAGCTAGCTGGATATTCCCTCTGGCGAACCTCTGTTGGGATTTTATTCCCTCACTTAAGCTTTGTTTGTTGACCTGCAGGTTCTGTGTCCCCACTGCCAGATGATTCTCTATATGGAGCGCGCTGCCCATGATGAATACACAGATGGACAAACCAAATGAGAAACTCCTCCCAGATAGTTTTGGGCTGTTCCCTTAGTCAACTCTTATCCTTTCCATAATGCTTTGCTTTTCATAAAAACCCATATATACAGCACCACCACAAGGAAAAGGTTCCTTTTATATCAGTTACTCATATTTTCCCATTTATTTAAGCTATTAAAATTCATGCAGATATTTTATAAGCCATCAGGATTTGGTGACTGGTATTACTGAATGTTTAATAATAAACTAAACAGAAGAAATCAGAGGGTTAAATGATGACTGCAATTCCTGTAATGACTTAATTAAATTTTTATTGAGTACATAAACTATGATGTCATTTCTAGCCAACCATGGGTCTGCTTTCCCAGCATGTCACAGGGTGGGAGCACTCAATAGGAGGCTAGGCTAAATGAGCAGCAAGTCTCAGCTGAAATGGGGAGGGGAGCAAGGCTCATGTAACACACTCAATAAATTATCCGTTCATTTTTAAACAAAGTCCATGAGTTATAATATATTTGCCATGCACTTTTTATGACATAATAAAAATGTTACCTTAAGGATTACTTAACACATACTACAAATGTTATAGCAGAGGCAGGCACAAGGGGCAAAGAAAACAAACACGAGCAGGCCAGGGACGGGTCCTGGAGTTTACGTCCCAGGGGGAACAGCATAGTATATTAAAAAGGGAATGCCAAAAAAGGGGGTGGGGAGATACAAGAGTTCAGGGTTACTAATCAGCAGATTAATGAATGAGACAACCAACAGGGAACACAAGTAAAACAATAATGAACCTTGCAAGGCACATGTTTAATTAATATAGTATTCTCGAGGAGGAATATTAGCTTTAAAGAGATGCCAGTTCATTTGAGGCCAATTCGCTGCCCTCTTCCCCCTTTTCACTGCTGCTGCTCTTAAAGACGTTTATGTGACTGCTTAACAGAGGAACCAGATTATGTGGATGGAGGGAGCGATGGAGGATCAAGTTTAAACTCCTTACTGAGCTCTACATGGTTCTCTGTGATCTGTTCTTGGTCATCTTTCCTGCCTCACCTCCTCCCACCTCCCCACTTTTAGCTCACCCTTCATTCACAGTAAACGATATGCAATTTCCACAAATAAGCCTTGCTCTCTGATAGCTCTTAAGCATACTGCTGCCAGAATTCCTTCCCCCTTCTTTGTCCACTGGGATGCTAACTCCTTATCCTCTAAGACATAGCTTATAAATTTATACCTTCTGCAAAGCCTCTCCTCTCCCCAGTCTACAGTGCCACAAAGGTGATTCAAGTCCAGAAAGAGGTCCCATAACTATTTACCATGTGCCAAGAACTATGCTAAGAGCTTCATGCATGTGAGCTCATTTAATTCTTCCCAGTGACTGAGACAGGTACTGTTACTATCCCCACTTTAGAGAAGAGGAAACTGACATTTGGGAAACTAGGAAATAGTGGGTGAAGATGAGAATACAGAGCAGTCTGATTCCAATGCTTATCTACGTTAGAACAAACACAAAAAATTATGTGGTCACCCCTTCATGTACCTACAACTTAGATTATCTGTAGAGGCAGGGCTAAGAGTAACTAATATGGTCTTGGGTAAACACAATTCAGAGATTCCCAATTGCAATGGTGGCTAGAGATGGGTCATCAGTGGCCAATTACTAATAGACATCAGACATCGCTAGCATAGCTCAGCCC